GTCAGGGTGCGATGTAGCAATGATGAAACATACAAGTTATCTCTAGTTCCTAAATGCTTCCTCCTCCCCCACTATCATGATCCCAATTCTACCTTACAAGTCTGGCTAGACCAGAGGATGTACACTGGTACAGATAGGAACTGGAAACACAGGGAATCCAGGTGAGATGATCCCTTCAGGACCAGTGGTGTGAGTGACGATACTAGGAGGGTAGAGGGAGGGTGGGTTGAAAAGGGGGAATGGATTACAAGGATCTTCATATGACCTCCTCCCTGGGGGATGGACAACAGAAAAGTGGATGAAGGGAGACGTCAGACAGGGCAAGATGTGACAAAATAATAATTTATAAATTATCGAGGGTTCATGAGGGAGTGGGGAAATGGGGAGGGAGGGGAGAAATGAGGAGCTGATGCCAGGGGCTTAGGTGGAGAGCAAATCTTTTGAGCATGATGAGGGCAATGAATGTACAAATGTGCTTTACACAATTGATGTATGCATGGATTGTGATAAGAGTCGTATGAGCCCCTAATAAAATGATTTTAAAAAAAACACATTAAAAAAAAGAAATAAAAATTAGAAAACAGATTGGCCAAGGGTTCAAGTACAAAGAAAATGTTTTGAAAATGATGATGGCAACCTATATACAAATGTGCTTGACACAATGGATGGATGGATGGATTGTGAGAAGGGCTGTAAGAGCCCCCAAAAAATGATTTAAAAAAAACAAAGAACCAGGAGAGAGGAGGGAGGGTGGGTAGAAATGGGGAACCGATTACAAGGATCCACATATAACCACCTCCTAGGGAGATGGACAACAGAAAAGCGGGTGAAGGGAGACGTCAGACAGTGTAACATATGACAAAATAATAATAATTTATAAATTATCAAAGGGTTCATGAGGGAGGGAGGAGCAGGGAGGGAGCGGGGAAAAATGAGGAGATGATACCAAGGGCTCAAGTAGAAAGCAAATGTTTTGAAAATGATGATGACAACAAATGTACAAATGTGATTGACGCACAGTGGATGTATGTATGGATTGTGATAAGAGTTGTACGAGCCCCAATAAAATGATTTAAACAAAAAGAAAGGAAGAAAACAGTTTGGTAGTCCCTCACAAAGTTAAACATAGACTTACTATATGATTCAGCAATTCCACCTCTAAGTGAATTCTACACCAGAGAATTGAGGCACAAATGAGACACGTGTACACCAATGTTCATAGTAGCGTTATTCAAAATAGCCAGAAGGAGAAACAACTCAAGTATCCATCAATAGATAACTCATAGACAACATGTGCTGTAGCTATACAGTGGAACATAATACAGCTAGAAAGAAGGAACGGCAGCACTCGGGTACCATGCTACCACGTGGATGAACTCCGACAACGCGCGCGCGCGGAGGGCTTTCAGTGCACAGTGCATCGAAGGACACATTCTGTTGATGTTCCAGCTGTGAAGTACCTACAGTAGGCCAATTCCTAGAGGTGGAAAGTCGGTTGCCAGGGCTGCAGGGAGGGGACACTTGGGAAACGATTGTTTAACGGATATAGAGTTCTTGTTTGGAGTGAGGAAAAAGCCTTAGGGTGGTGATGAACACAGAACATTGTGAAGCTAATGCCACTGAAACGTATACTACTGGGGTGCATTTTAAGTTATATATAAACCAAAAAGATACATTGACTTCCAGTATCATAGGTGGAGCAACTTAGCTGGAGAATGTACCTGTGCTTCTGAGGGAAGAAAACAAAACAAAAAGCCTTTTATCAATAGAGGAAGAATTCGCCAAGTAGCCTTAGTTCAGGCCCGGTTGAGGATGAGCCGCAGGGAGCCGCTGGCTGAGCCCCGCAGGAAGACTGCTCCAGAGAGTGACAGCTAACTGGCAGGAGCGAGGTGTGCTTACTTTTTGGCTCAAGATCTAAGGCTGCAGCAGAAGGAATGCCAGCGATCAGGTGAGATGACATCACCCTGGAAGGCTGGGGGGCAATCCCGACCACACCGGCCCAGGGAGGATAGTCTTCCTTAACTAATAAGAGGTGTGAAATCACAGAAGTGTAACTCTGATTGGCAACCGTACAGTAGAGTCAGCTTACCCACCCTGGATTCTACGTTAACAGTGGCAGCGTGCAAGCCAGTCCTTACAGGTCTGGAGGATTTGCCCCAAAGCTGAATAGAGCTCCCTTTGTGTCAAAGCCAAGAGGCCCAACGTTACCTCACTTTACCCAAACACGCAGTTGGAGTTCACAAAGCCACACCGCCTCCCAGTCAATCTCACCCGGATCGCTTATGTTGATGTATGTGGCCAGGCAGTGCACACGGAACTTACATGGTCACTTCCTAGCCCGGACGGACTTTCTGTGATACTCTTTAACTCGATAGCACTTCCTGGAGTAGCGGTGCTCCGCCGGTCAGGACACAGCTTAGCCCTTATTATAGCGATGCTATTAGTAGCTGGGCCTTCCAGTATGTCTTACACACAAGGTCACTCCTTAGAACTAGAGTCTTGGTAAACTATTGGGGGTGGGGGTTTCACGAGTCGTTCCCACTGTTGAATATCAAGTTGATGATCGGAAATGTAAACTCCCACTTAAAGTGCAATTACTGGAGGGTGGAGGGAGGGTGGGGTAGAAAGGGGGAACCGAGTACAAGGATCTACATATAACCTCCTCCCTGGGGATGCACAGCAGAGAAGTGGGTGACGGGAGACGTCGGACGGTGTAAGACATGACAAAATAACAATAATTTATAAATTATCAAGGGTTTGTGTGGGGGTGGGGAGCAGAGAGGGAGGGGGAAAATGAGGAGTGAATACCAGGGGCTCAAGTAGAAAGCAAATGTTTTGAGAATGATGAGGGAAACAAATGTACAAATGTGCTTGACACAATGTATGTGTGTGTGGATTGTGATAAGAGTTGTACAAGCCCCAATAAAATGATTTAATTAAAAAAAAAGTACAATTTAAATAAATATTATTAACATAATAAGTAAATAAAATGAACACATAGATTCTAAGCCCAAACGCAAACCAAACCAAGCTCCCTAAAATCTTATTACTCTTTCTTCCTTTTTCAGAAATACACTTAAAAATGGTGGTAAAGAGACTGATAACAAAGGCGCTCTGGGGCACCAGCAAGGAAGCCCTGAACTGCTAACCACAAGGTCAGTGGTTCAACCCACCGGCTGCTCCGTGGGAGAAAGACTGACAGCCTCACCAGTGCTACCCGGGGTCCTCATTAGGCCGAACCTGCTCACCGGCAGGGTCGATGCATTTGGATCTAAGTACCAAAACATTTGCCGTCTCAGCAATGTACACCTGGACATTTCAGTGACATTACCGATGCTCCGCATGCGGCTCAGCCACCCCCAGTCTCCAGTTCTGAGTTTTCCCATCGTCCTTAGCAAAGAAGCTCCGTGTCCCTCAGCATGGTGTCTTCCTCCTTCCTTTGAACTCATCCCTGATTGCTCTTCAATTCCTTAGTTACCCTCCTTCCGAGGCAGGGCACTGGGCGGGTGGCTTAAGGCCGGTCGCCAGCACTGCCTACATAACACAAGCTAAAGCTGCGCTGGCAGCGGGCACTTGAGAAGCATCACCGGGGAATTCGGCTCATTTGGGAAAACCCGTCTGGTCTGCGGGCTGCGCTGCTCTCTAACCCTCAGAGCTGCGAGTGAGGTTGAGAAGGGGAAGGCGCACTGACCGTGCTGGCTGACGAGGTCGGCACGGAAGCAGATGACATCTCCAACAAGGGTGAGCTTGGTGTCTGGCTCAATGGCATGCTCGACAGTGACGGGCATATAGTCTGCCATGCCCGGGTGTCGCTGGTCCCAGAGCCCCACAAGTGTTGTCCCCCTGTTCACAGCCTGGGCTGTGTAAGTATAGTTTCTGCTCCCTGGTCCAATAAGCAGCAGGTCGTCTCTGCAAGCAGACAGGAAAGGTCAAGACCTCCGGCGGCCACAGTCAACAGTCAGGAGACAGGTCTGGGGCCAACCCCGTCCCAACAGTTTACAGACCACCGTTCAGAACCTCAGAGGGATTCCCACAGTGGAGAGCAAGCAGCTAGGGCCCAGGGCCCATGGACAACCCTGTGCTTGTTTGCATTGAGCCCCATCAGGCTCTCTGAGGGTACCACTCCAGTTAACTCCCTATGAATCTTTCTGTGAACTGGGACTTGACAGATTGGAAACATCCTGAACTTTTTTCTTCAACAACTCATTCAATGTTTTAACTGAATCTGGTCTTTTTCCTATCTTAATAAGAGATGTGGAGGTCAGATTCCAAAGTCAGAAGGTGGGAGAATTTACTGGCGCTGTGATTTAATACCAGGCTGATCTGCTAGAAAAACGGGCCTTGGGGGCATAGCGAGTTATGTGTTGAACCGCTCAGCACAAGGTTAGAAGTTCGAAACCACCAGCCATTCCTTGGAGAAAAGAGGAGATTTCCCGTTCCCATAATGAGTTACAGTCTGAGAACCCACAGGGGCAGTTCTGCTCGGCCCTAGAGTGTCTCTGTGAGTCAGCATCACCTGGATGGCAGTGAGTGAGAGGGTGGAGTGAATCTGCAGGATCTTAACCGCTGAGCTATGAGTGCACACCAGTCCCTTGACCTCCGTACCTGTTTAGCGCCAGATGAAGGTGGGTATTGTGTGTGTGGAATTTCTCCCCGATGCTACTGTAAAACTGAACAATGAAGGTGAGAGACATGCCCAAGGGAAAAGCTGACAGGGTCCTTCCTGGGGCCACGTACAGCTTGGGTTGGCTGCTCAATCGCAGGTACGTCACCGGTGCAACCTGAGGGAGACAAAAGCACCCAGTACCGAGGGTGCGGTTTATGGTCCGTGACAAGCCCGCGGTGCTCTTCTGTAGGACACGACTAGCTCTTAGTGTGAGATGACGGGAATCGCAGGGCAAGAGAAATACAGTACCCCGGGAATCGCTTCTTAATTATGACAGCTGTAGGGGTGTGAAAAGAAACTGGAGCTTCCTGAGAAAAGGAGTCCGACTCACAGTGTGCTCTGTGCACACTGCTCAGCTTTGTTGTGGTGATTAAAATGGTCACTGACCAGGAGCACTGTAGAAGGTGCGTGTAGGAGATAGCG